TTTTTTTGCTCGATTCATCAGACCTTTTTCACGGTGATAGCTATGTTTAGTTTTTTAAACATGAACATTTTAGATACGTTTATGGAACTATCACTGCCGCAACTGTGCGATCAACAATCCGTCGTCTGCGCGATCTTAAAGAATAAATTCGTCTGTTTGATTTGATGATCGTCGTTGTTATTGTTTTTGTAAAATAAAACTATCCAACAGATGATATGAACGTGTCTAGATGTTTTGTCATTCGATACTATCAAGCCTGTTTTGCTGTTTCGGAAACGTACTACGGCGATATCAAAATTGGCCACATTTCGAGACGTTTTCGTCAAAGCCAAATATGCTAAAACTGAAATGAATGGGGAAATAACATATTCAACACATACTGGGAATTGCTAACGTTTGACTATACGGAAATGAGTGTGAGCTATAACTTGTCTTGGGAAATTCTGGGAAGGAGTGCTGCAAAGTGTCCACCACGCTGTGTAGTTGCTTGGCCATGATAAAACGGCGGAATCAGAGTATTTCTGCACAGTGGAATTCTCATGGTACTCTAGGTAGCCAGAATGAAGACAACCATATCATTGAGTTTCGTGTAAAAAATATGGGAGGAACTTGAACGAGGAATGCTTTCAATCTTTAGATAGCTTTGGGAGTGAGTGGCATCTTAGGAAGCCTCGCATCACTCAACAAATGAAGAGTTATAGTTCGGCTAGAAATGCTAGTAAAGGTAGAGGTTAGAGGCGTGCTAGAATGTCGAACAACGCGCAAATGACAAAACAGCGTGCATAGGTTAGCTTTGCGAAGATGAGACGAAAAGAACAAGGTGCATGTGCATAGATGTCGTTTTTCGAAACCTAAGGGTGCTACATCTTCCCAATTCTCTGTGCGTTTTTCTGATTTTTGAATTAAAGGTGTTAGCCGCTTGTCCGATTCGGTATTCTCTTCCTTAGCCCTACGAAGAGTGCGTGCTACCTTTTGCTCCCTTCTCAGTCTCAAATAAACCTTATGAAAGCTGTTCAAATCAATTACTCTGAAACGAGTCTTATTCATGCACAAGCTCTTGAGAAGTTTTTCTAGCATGAACTGTACTGCATACTTAAAGGTTTCACTTTGCTTTTTTCTGCCTTTCACGTTTAGAGTTCGTTCTTCCTTCCTCCAAGTTAGTGGATGAAGCACGGGAGCCTATTGCAGATTACACTTTGTTCTAGTCCCTTCTGAATGCGAATGATTTTTTTCACAGAGAGAAGGGTCTGCTCTAATGACTTTCATTACTTGATAATTTGTTTAGATGGATCTCCTGAAAGGATATGTGCAAAGTGACGAGGAAATGTCGGATGATGATTCAGCGCATCAAATATCGTTACAGAATTGCAAATCTCTGGCTATTCCAACTGACTTGGCCGTGAGTTAATGCTCCATCTTAATCACTCACCTTTCCGCTTTTGAGTTTCTGGTAGGTGTGGCCTTGAAGCAAAAACTCGCTACTGACGATTAACAGGTCGCCCCTGAAGTCGCAACTAAGAGCATCTTGAAGCAAATTGCAATAGTGGATCCGAGAACAAAAGAACTGAAAACAAATCCGACTTATGAACAGTTGTTTCAACCGGAGGTTAGTTTGTACTCATCTAACTTCATAATTCTTTCCTCTAGCCATGTTACTTTATTGGATGCTTCGCTTTCAGGCCGGTCCAAGTAATCCATTCAAGAGTGAAAATCAAAAAGCTCAGAAGAACGTTCTTACAGGGTGAGAGGGGTTTTCAAGTACTGTTTCGCTGATAATAGTCAAGTGATGCGATTTCCTTTTCCTCTAACTCTGCAAGGGAGATGTGTAAAGTCTTTATCTGTTTCCCTTTTCTGGTCGTCAAAGAGGTGAAAACGATAGAATTCTGATTGGTATTCCTTAGAAGATCGGATAGGGTTCTGCTTAGAGTAAAGATTGCTCATCATAAATTTATTATTTTGTAATTCACTGGGCAGATTTTATGAAGGAATTTCGTTCTGGGATTTATTAGATCTCGTAGGAACCGTAATCAAGGTCACGTTTTGCAAGTATCCAGCTTTCCATGTTGATTGGATTAAATTCGAATTTGACGTGAATTGTAGACTTTTTTCAGAATCTAGATGAGAAGGATACCTAAGTGGAAAATGATTTAATTATTACAGCTTCGTAGAGCCAGCTCACTTCAACGACTTTCATTTCACTCGTGAACTGCGAAGTTTTGACACTCTGGGATATGCCCGGAATCCTACTGCTGATAAAAGTCAGTGCTGTCCAATGATAAACATTTTCTGTGCTTCGTAGTGCTTTCTACGTATGTTGGCGTTATGAATTATTTTCATTGCCTTGTTTAGGTAACGAATACATTGGGAATAAGGAAGCTGCTATTGAAAATCAAGGCGAATCATTGTTTGATTCGAAGAAAACTGGTGGGGAAAAGCGAAAGAGACAAGCCAATTTCGATCCCTCGGACGTTGAAGGATATACAGGTTTTGAATTAGCTTTTTGGAAGTGATTTTGCATTAGGTTCAAAAATTGTTCTAGGTCCTTGGGCTAAATATTGTGATGAGAAAACGATAGCCAAACCAGACCCTGAACTACAAAAAGAAATGGACGAAATCGTAAGAAAGGTTGGTGTATTAATATATAGGCCGAATCGTTTTAACCAGAAATATTGAATTTAAGCGACAAGCCAACAGCCGTCGGTTTAAACGAAAGCAACAACAACAACAGGGTGATAACGCTGAGGAGTCCTCTGTATTGCATTGTACGTTGCTATGTTGTTGTATATCATCAGCAATAATTAAGGCGTGATTTTCATTTCAGTGAAAGAAGCCCAAGATTATCAAGGACGTTCGTTCCTTGTGCC